TTCTAGTCTTACACTGCTAAATTAGGGATGGCTAGCACAGATGGCCCTTCTGTAGCTTTGCGAGAAATTCACAAACAAATAAAAACATCTAGTATTTTTTATTGTATAAGTTCCTGTGGCTGATCATGTTTTGGACAGGTCAAAATTTGAAGAGAATGACATCAGGAATTTTTTACATCGTAGGAAGTTTAAAATGGTTGTGTTATAGTAATGTAGTAGTGTCGAGCTCTTGATGTTCTTCATAATTTTAAATGGTTTAGCCTTATAGAGTTAATGGAGTACCAAGCTTTTGATATTATACAAAGTTTAAAATGGTTTAATTAAATCATTTTAAAGTTTGTATGCTATTCATTGTTCTGCACAACAAAGAGCTATTAGTACACACACTGCTCTGTAGATTCCTGTGTATGTCACAAGCAGGGAACAAAGCTCTGACCCCAATGTGTAATCATCATTAGTCTGTGTTCCTCAACCATTTGGAAGGACAACACATCCTACATGTGCATTAATTCCCATAACCACTATTATTTGAACAAAGGATCATTCTTTCATTGGGTTTGCTTGTTTTCAGACTTTTTATTTTAATAAGAATTACCGGAATTTGTATGTTTATTATTTTAAACTTTTGTTACCATTCATAGTATATTCTTTCTTTCCTTAGTGTTCTTGAGTATATTCAAGAACAATACCATATTTTAAACTTTTAAATTCAAATTTCCGATACGATACCTCACCTTACCTCCTCTTACAAAATAGATTTTCTCAATTAGTACTGCCATTTATGGGTGCAAATTTTCAATGCTTGCCACTAGTCTTCCACCTCCCACTTCTGCATATCCACATATAAATGATTATGCCGCAGTTCTCCACCAATAGTAGTGCGACACAACCCCTATCGTAACCAGTGCCCTCTCCACATTTGCACTCATTAATCATTTCTCGATTGGCAGAAGTACTGTACAGACGTGCTTGTTTTTTACTCATAAATTTCTCTGTTTTCCTTTATGCTACAGACTTTGCTTTTCTTTAATATTTCTTTAATTTTTTGTGTTTTTGAATTTGGAAAGGTTACTTTTTACAACTTTGATCATTTTTCTTTGTGTTTCCTTTCTATAAAATTCTTATTTCTCATGTTATTGGATTATGGCCTGGCAGCAGTCTGAGACCTTTGCAATTGACACTTGTCATGGGCTGTCCCACAGTTTCTATGTTCTCTTTCTTTACCGTTCATTTTTGCCCAAGACTTCTATTACTAGGGTGGGTAATTCCACTTTTTCTCTCATTTCCTTATCCTCCATTTCCCACATTTATGACCATTCTGATCCTGACTGTCTCCTTTGTCCGGGCCGGGCCCTCCAACGGTATCTCACTCGCACTGGTTCCTTCCGTGGTTCCCATAACTATTTGTTTATTCCATGAATCCTTCTGTGTCCTGGGATCTCTCTTCAATTAGCCTTACAAGTTGGATTCACCAGTTCATTAGACAGGTGTATTTTTCCCTTTTGCTTAAATAATATTGCCTTTTTAGGGTATTTTTTCATCATATCTGTCACCTCACCATGTCCCTGGTTGCCCATTTCCATCTTTCTTTGGAGGGTCATCATTGGGGCTGGTATGTGGACTACACCTCATACTCTTGTTTCACATTGTTTGCATCACATGTCTAGTTTTTGCTCAATGGGTTTTTGTTTACCTCCACTCACCATGTTACACACTGTGGTATCATAAGGACTGGTGAGTACTATGTTTTAGTTCTTTCTTTATTTACAGGAGCCTTTTTGCTAGTGTATTGTGGATCCCACTCTATAGCGAGTGGTGCCTGACCAGTTATAATATTTTTTGGAAAATCTGCACTCTCCCTCCTGTGACTAGGCTCAATGTCAATTAAGTTGTAGCTCTTCCTAATGCAGACCTGATGTACAATTCCAGATGCTGCCAGGTGTTAGTTGTGTGCCTCCGATAAATTTTAATCTGTGATGATAAAATTACTTCACATGATTATAGATGGGATGTTTGTTAGGACCACTAGTGGCTCTCTCTACTGGTCTTTTGCTTCATAAATATGTTCATCCCAGACTGTTCACTCTTGGACAATCATGAGTGAAGCAGACAGGGATTGCTGCCTATCTATGATGCTTCATGGCATTGCGACTCTTCTTATTATGGACCTGACATACAATTCCTTATGTCACCAGGTGTTGGTTGATCGATTTTGTCGATGTGATAACTCTCCATTTCAAAATATGGTATCGAGGTCACCT